ATCCTCCCGGGACAGGGGGCCAGGTCGTCCTCCGGAATTGGAACGCACTCGCGACCGACCCGGGGAGCTCGCTCGCCGAACGATTGACTCTCGTTGAAGCCGAGGTCGCCTTGCTCCGTTTCGCGTGGGACACTTCTGAAGCGGAGAGGGAAGAAGAGGGGGGGTGGGGGGGGGGGGACAGAGAGGAGCGAATTTAAAACGATCGCGAGGCATCCTCGTCGCCGGAGCCCGCTCTCGCTTCCGGGGTCGTCCGACCTCGGCCTCCCCGAGGAGTCTTACCGTTAGACGATCCGCGGATCCTCCGTGCATTATTAAGCAATACTTCTTCGAGAGCGCGTCACCCGGAAGCCGTCGGAAAATGAACGTCGAACATCCCCCCGCCCCCCACGGACCGTCAGGGAATTTTGTCATCGACCCTATCAATTTATTTCCCGTTCAATTATCGGCTAACGCGGAACGGGAGACGCTTTTTGGAGTGGCTCGCGCGACGGGGGATGAAGGGGTCGACTTTTCCCGGCCGGAGTGGGCGCCGATGAATCGATAATATTCAGGGATGGGTACCGGGGGGGTCGGCTCTCCGGTCGACGGGACGAACACAGGATGGGCTGGTCCCGTTCAATTTGGAGCGGCGACAAAGGCCCGACCTCTCCCTCTAACCGGACACACCGGACGGACGGCGATGCGACGTCCCTGCCGAGGACCGCCTTTTTGGCATTGTCGCGTAATCGCCGACCTGTGAAGCCGTCCTCTCTGGCAACCTCCCGATTACCTCGTCGCCGGGAGGGGAGAAACCGATGGCGCGGGCGCGCCGATCTCAGGTGCCCCGAGAGAGGGTACCGAGACGGTACCGGTTCCGGAAAAAGGGGATCGCTCCCCGGGAAAATTCCGCGCTCTATACTTTTCCCCGTTTCGAGAGCGCATCGCTCGATATCGCGTTGAATTCGCCGCGCGATACGCGCCCACCGCCGGGTTTCCAAAGACAAAGAGGGGAAAGACCAAGGCCGCGCCTTTTAAGGGCCTCGAGGGGGGTCCTCCCGCGCCCCCGGGTGTGTCCTTTGTCGTTAGGAACAACGAGGCTCCGGGAACCGACTCCGTTCCCGCGCAACCAGGTCAGGGGTTAACCCGGAAAAGACCGAAATTCCAGGATACCCTAGAGAGCCGGCTCGTTGGCTCGTAAACCCGGGTGCAATTGGCCGATCCTTCCCCGATGCACCGATGCAGTAGAAGGCAGGTATCCTTTGTCGGCCCCTCCCCCCCCCTCCCCCCCGCGAGTCCTGCACGAGGGGTCGGGATTTCAATCACCCTGCCACGAGGGTTCGCAAAAACTCCCTTGGAAATTCAATATCCTCGGGCCGCTCCTTAATTCCCGAAAAACTCCTCCCTCGAGCCCGACTCCAGGACCGAGTCCGAGGCTCGTCCTCGAGGTCCCTGGTATTTTCTCCAAGGGGTTCGACCACCCTAGGAAACGTTTAATCGCCGAAATTCAAGGATTCCTTCCCTCGGAGCCGTCCTCGACCCGTCTCGTCGGCGTTCGCGGGGGGTCGCCGTCCACCGGCCTCGATGGGTTAAACGTTAAAGGGACGCTCAGGGCGCGCACCCCCCCTCGAGCGCGAAGGCACGAGGGGTGGCTCCCTAGGGTGTACGCCGTGTTCGCCGTGTACGCCGTGTACACCATGCACCCCGTATACCCCGTACCCACCGCGTACATGGTGGAGTCGGAGAGGCCAGTCGAAGCGGTCGGGCCGAACGACCGTCGACCGACCGCTCGAGGGACGGTGCCCAACGAGGGGATCGATGCGACGCCTGCGCAAGGCCACCCTTACGAATCCGGGCACCCCCGAGCGACGCTACACCCACCCCTACGTCCTCGGCCCCGACTTTAGGACGTTATTCCCCGGCCTCCCCCGGCATGTACAACCCCTCAGGAACCGAGCCGCGTAAATAAATTTCCACGGGTCCCACGACCGGGCTCGAAAGAAGCGACCTGGCAACGATCCGCGAGAATCGACTCTCCCGTAACCCCTCCGACAGCTTGCACGCGGTGACCCGAGTACGGGGTCGGGTTTCGACGCTCGTGCCCCAAATTCGGGGAGCGTAAACCATCCCCGGAGCTCTTTACGACCCTCCTTTACGACCGCCCCGAAACGTCGGGCTCGGTTTTCCTCCGGGTGCACACGGTTCCGGTAGCCCTCCGGCCGCCTCGACTTTATACCCTGGTTTAGGAATTATTGGATCCCCAGGAACACCCGGAGGATCTTGCTCCGGACGTTCCGCTCTATCCAGGAAATCGTGTCACCGGGTCGCCACTGTCCTGGGCCGCGCGCCTCGCGTGTCGATGGCTCGAGTACGCCCTCGAAGGCATTCCAGGGAGAAAAAAGCCACCCCGAGCCAAGAGGGTTGACCGACTGCCGGCACGTGCTCTCGAAAGGCGGCAAAACGACTCGACGCTCGCCATTTCGTCGCATGCTTACCGCACAAATTGGAAAATGGATATAAAATAAAATACCGGAGGTACGAGGGGCAGAAACCGAGCGCGATAACGATGCGGCTCGCGACGGTAATGAGGAAAAAAAAAAGGGAATAGAGGACGAGTACTGATTACGAAGATAATTGGAAAATTAAACTGGGAGTAAGAAACCCGTCGATAATCCCCGTTGACTCGCGATAGCGGGAACGGTGCCTTTGACTGGCTCGTCCCTTGGGAGGAAGGGTCTCGGGGTGATTAAACGACTATATACACGCGTCGACGTATACATACACGAGCACGAGTTCCAGGGGATCGCGTGGTCTCTCAATCTTTCCTCCCCGGGGGTGAAGAAAGTTCCCGGGGTCCCTTTACTGCCGTCCTCGGAATACCGACTCTCGTCTCGCTCCTTTGTCCCCGAATAAGGGAGCGATAACCGAGTACGCCCTGCACCTCCTGCAGCTCCCTCCTCCCGTGAAGCCGGCCCATCCCTTCAGTCTATCCCTCCGTTTCCACGAGCCGTCGAAATCCCGAATCCCGAGGGAAAGTCCTCCCCGAAAGTGCCATCTGCCCTTCCCTCTCCCTTTACCCCCGATTCCGAGAGCCCGATCCCTTTACTGCCGTTTCGTGTCCGGTCTCGATCTTCGCCCTATCGACCACTCCGATTAATTAGACCCGCGCTTATCATTTCCAATCGGCGATCGGCTGGAAAATTGGGCGCTCTCCAGGAAATCCATTTTATTAAGAGGGACCCCTTCCCACAGGTGCGGAGTGAAATCGTAGGTGGGGGCTGAATCGGGCACGACTAAACGAATTAACCCGAGGTGGTTAGCAGCCTTCTGGCCGTGGTCTGAAAACCCTCCCCCCCGGGTACATTAGAGGCACCTACTTCGTTCCCAATCCTCCAGGAATCTCGGTCGCGCAAACCCCCGGACGTCGTATAATCCCGGGAAATGCGATGATCGCGCGAGTGCCCGCCCCGGGTCGCGACGTCGTGTTTCCCTTCGATTACGGGATTAACCGAGTCCCAGACCTCGGCGAGTAAGTAGAAATAAAAGTACATGGCGATAACGACGCGACCCCGACTGCTCCGATTTAATTCGTCTCATCCGCCTCCTGTGATCGCCGCCACCGAAGCACCTTTTCGCTCCTCGAATTAGAGGCGAACCTCTAAGCGAATTAACGACCTGGCGTCGATCGAGTATTCGCGACTCGCCCTGAAAACCCGCCGAGAGCCTTACGAGCGATTCGCGCCTAATTGACGAGGAATCTCGGTCGAGCTCGACTTCGAGTCCGCGGATACTCCGCGTACGTTATAGGGACGTAGAGAGAGAGAGAGAGAGTGAGAGGCTCGACATGGCGAGAGAGGGTGTACATGCCGCAGGGAGCTTTATTTTGATTCGATTAACGCCGTCGCGGCGCCTATGTACTCCCGCTATGTGCCCGTACTCGACGTCGACGTCGACGAGGCTCGAGGGGTAAACGAGATCGATGACGTCGCGGTCTCGTCGGCCAGGTCGGCGGAGACGAGAGCCTAGGTCTGGTGCCGAGATACTTTTTCTCCCGGGGTGAAGATAAAAAAAGTGAAATCGATCTTAGGAGAGAAAAAAAAAGGCAGGAAAAAAAAAAAAATCAAGAGAAACAATCACCGCCGACGGTAAGAGGGTCCCTCGTAAAAGCGTCCTCGATTTCGCGAGTCGACGGAATTAATTTCTGCGGAGCACGCGAAATGGGATCCGGAGGAAGAGAGAGAGAAAGACCCGGTGGGCGTGCGTCTTTTGTCGCCTCGCAAGACTCGATTTGTCGCGTAATTCGCCCGCGATGATAGCCGGATGTGGCCGGGATAAATATAGATCGCGGGGACGGACTTTGGATTTCTCAACCCCGGGTCGGACCGATCGATTTTTCCGGGTTTCGAGTCGCCGCGAGGAATCGTCCCGGGGTTGATAAGAACATTACCCGAGGTAGCGATAGGAGGTGCAAGTCGCACGTGAGTCGAGGGTGGAAGGTTTAAAGCGCAGCGATAGACACAGGGAGGACTTATTAGTAGGGCGCGGAATTGTCACCGCAAAGTAAGATCCGCGGTACGAGGTGAATGCAATCGGTTCGAGGAGCGTCTCCAAGCGGCAGTATATCTTTATCCTATCCCCCGAGCAGCTGATCGCGTCTATTGACAAAGAGGCCCGCGCGCGATCCAAGGTCGGCCCTAAACCAGCGGCGATATTAAACGAACAAACAAACCTCTCCAATCGAAGCCCCCCTTCGACGGGCTCTCAACATGCCGATACTATCTGACAAAGGAAAGCCTCCGCTAACCTCGCGGTCCCCTTTCTGCGCGCAATAACAAATCGCCGGTAAATACCAGTTAATCACCAGAACGAAGCCAAAAGAGGGAGAATTGTCGAGGAAAAACCGGGATGAAAAATCGATCGAAAGGAGAAAACTACGGAATCCTAAAGTTCTCAGGTGAAAGATGAATTTTTTAAAGGGTTCGAGAGATCGGGTCTCCTCTCCGGGATGAGGGAACTCGTCTCACCTCCGCGATCTCCGGCGATCCCGGCGCAGGACCCCGGCCAGCTGATCGGCGAGGCTGCGTCACCGGCCGATAAGGGCTCTCCCCTGCAATCAGCATCCGAAGGTCGCGGCAGGTGGAGGGTCGGGTGGTCGTCTCACGAGAGAGCGATCTCGCGGGGTCCGGCAGGTTGTTGCCAGGCGAGGGCGTCGGGACGCCCGCCGGGGGTCGGCCCTCGATCCGGCGATCGGTCCATGTCGGGTCGTACCATCGACGCGTCAATACATCGGCGAGTCCAGATGACTCGCCGTCGCGAGAACTGCACACCGCGCGACGCCCGATCCCTCGGCCGGCTCCGAGAAACGCACCACTGGACGCGTAGCCGCGGTTCGAGGGGTCGACTCGTCCTCCTCCAAGGCGAACCTTGTATAGAGGACCGAAGAGATACCGAGGAGGTTCGGAGACGATCGGGACGCGAACGCGAGTCGGACACCTCGAGGGGCTCGGCCACCTAGGGCCACCGTGCGGCTCGCTCGGCCCGTGGAAACGGTACTGCGGCTCTCGAGCGGCGCCGGCGCGGCCGCGCAGCCGCAGACCGCCTCTACGCCGCGTCCCTGTTTCCCCGACGCGAGACGCGGAAACCAATCGACGACACGCCGATTTTTTTTTTTTTTTTCTTTTCCCCCGCAATTCCGAGCAGTGGTAATTGGGGCCGGAGGAGGCGGGCCAGCCGGTCGACGTAACTCCGCGATTGCGGACCACCTGGACGAGGAGAGATGCCGGGAGATAAGTCCGCTTTTCGGGGTAACCGGGCGGAATCGAGGGAAATCGTCGAGACAAAAGTTGCTCCTCGCGGGGTCGGGAAGGGTTTTCGTAGAGGGGAGTTTTCTCCCAGAGGCGACGGTTCTCGAGAAAAGTCCAGATTTCGGGGCCCGGAGGGGGCTACGTTTCGGTGAATGAAAGAGGCGCAAAAGGCGCGCAGGCGCGGGGCTTCCGGCCGATGTCGGGCAGTGCCGTAATGCGACTCGCGTGACGATTGCGCGAGAAAGAGGCGAAGCCGCTTGTTCCGCGTAATTTTAGGTCGTAAAATCATTCCCGGGGATGAGTAATCGGGAGCGTCGGAATGTTACCCGGTGGGACGAGGTGGAGTAATTCGGTCCCGGGCGTTTCATGGGTCGTTACCAGTTTAACGCGAGGTTTTCAATCGGAGCGGCTTCGGTGGTAGAATCGATCTCCGCTGGCTCGATCGCAGCGTCCCGATCGAAGGCTGACGAATCGCAAAGATGTGGATCTAATTTTGGACGTCTCGCTGGCACCGAATGCGGACCAGGAAGCGCTCGCTGCTATCCGGGAGACAAAAAGCCCGTCGAGGGAATTAGTGGACCGCGACGATCGCTCCTCGGAAGATCTACGATGTTCTTATTCGATCCGACGAGTCATCTCGCCGATCGACCGATTCTTCAAACTCGGCACGCTCCGCGACGCGAGACGAATCGAGATATCGGCTGGTCGATTGTCTTTGCCGGCGCGAGAGCCGAGATAAATCGCTGCGGCGAAAGCGCGGATGGCCCCCTTACGCTAAGACAGGACGGAACTCGAAGTTTAACTGGATGACTAAGGAACTTCCTGAAAACGCTCCAAGAAACGATGCATAAATGTGGCAAAGAAAGAGATTCCCGGAAGCAGCGGGAGAGGGTCGACTCATCGCACGCTCGAACCGATTATATCGTTATATTAAAATATATAAATGCCGACATAACGACTGGTAAACGTCTCTTACATGGTTTCCCTAGAGCGCGACAACCGCGCCTTAAATATGCACATTAGAATACGTTAATAAGTTACGGCCCGTCCGCAGCTCTCGAAATAATACCGAGGCAGGACGCCTCGAGATGTCTCACTCGACTTGCTCTCTTAAGGCAACGCATTTCTCTCTCTCTATATATATGTATAAATTTTATCTGAAGATGCACCTCAGGACTCTCGGGATCGAGTTAAAATGCAGCAAGGACAGGAAAGTAGAAAGTGGAAAAAGTAACAGTTGGCACGCTTCCAACCTGGTGGCCGGATTCCGTAGGATTTACAGCTGCTCCTCCGCACGGTCGAATTCTTATTTCTGACTATTTTTCGTTTTGTTTTCATCCTGATGTTCTGTACCCTGGAGATCGAATTTGCGAACGGATCCATCCGCAAGGTGTACAGGTCATTGTATATTCACACAGGTCTACCAAACGTGGCTGAGATTTATGTGAATAAAAAAATTGACGAACCGCACTGCACACCTTGCCGAGGGGCCTTGAATTTGTGGAAGTCCGGAGTGCCCTTTGTGTTAAATTGCTACACTACTTGACGTGTACAGGGTATGTCTCGAAATCGAGGACTCGACAGCTCATTGCTCGTCCTTGTCCTTGGCTCCATGCTTCAGAATCCGAGTGAACTCCAAATAATCGAACATGGAACCCTTGATGGGTGCCTCCCTGTACATCTCGTCTACGTCGTCATCCGTAAACCTAAAAAAAAAAGAGACCATGCATTCGTCATCCTCTGACCTTTCTCGACTTTCCTGGACTTTCGGAGAAAAGGGGAGGAACGGTTGCATCGCACTCTGGTCCAAAATAAATCTTTCTACCAGAGATTAATCTTTCCCCTTGCTCCGAAAAATGAGAAATAAATTTCGGCGTGATGAGTGAGATTACCGATCACCCATCGTGGTGAGAAGCTCTCGGAGACGCTCCTCGTTGATGTGCCCGTTGTTTTCCTCGTCAAAACACCCGAAAGCATTTTTTATCACATCCTCGGGATCCGTGCCTTGTAGCCTCTCTCCGAAAAGGGTGAGAAACATCGTAAAGTTTATCGGACCTGGGGCTTCGTTCATCATGCCTTCCAAATATTCATCCGAAGGGTTCTTGCCTGCAGATATTTCATTTATTTATAGTGTCAGTTCGGAAAGGAATTTTTTCAAAATATAGAATTTCAGAGAATTACATACCTAGCGAAGCGAGCATGTCATGGAGATCCTCCTTGTCGATGAACCCATCGTGATTCTGGTCGATCATGTTGAAAGCCTCCTTAAATTCTGCGATCTGGGCCTGATCAAACATTGCGAAGACATTTGACGTTGCTCTCTGAGCACGCTTTTTGGTTGTTGCTCGGCGACCTGCGGTTTTACGTGACGACATGGTGGTCTGAAAAATGACATCATCGAGTTCGAGGTTACCAGGCATCGTTTATTTTCAGATAATTAACGCTGGAAATTCTGACGTAACTGAATTAGGGTAAAAATAAAACCGTTCGCACATGAACTCAATTAACGGGACGATACTACGATGACAGAGTTGAGAGGTTCTCTGAAACTCCAATTTATACACTTTTCAGTTCCAAAAATAACCTTTCATCGTTCGCATGGTTGCCTGATTATTATACATAACATTAAAATAATCGTTTCACGAGTAATTTCTTTGGTATGCTCCTCGAAGGCTTGTGACTAAACTCAAAGGAATTTGTGGAATGTCAATTCAGCAATTTTTACAGTGACCTTCGAGAGAAAAAAATAATTTCTCCCCCTACGCTGCCCAGTCTTGCTTACAAGGAAATTCCGTTAACATTTTTAACAAAGCTCATATCGTAGTACCATTATTTCCAAGACTTTAAATCGAGACTTAAGCACCAGCCAGACCTATCGCATATTTTCAAATACTGACCTTGTTTCTAATCTATGACGCCAGAATTTTTTGGTACGTTTATTATTTACAAGCAAGACAATGGGAACGCCACAACAACAAATACTTCAATTTCTCCTGCAGCGACCCTGAGAATCTCTTCATACCACTTTTAATAAAAAATAACCGAGCGTCGTAAAAATCAAGCTAAATGGCTTGCTTTATACCGCAAGGGAAACGATCAGGCCGAATTTCGAATTTTCAGCCGGTAGTGCTAACGAAACCGTAATGGCGACCATTTTACACGGAGGACAAACTCCGCTGTCGTTCGATCGCATCACGCACTTTTCTTAAAATTCTTGGAATCTGCAGTCACAGATGCACTCTAGAATCCGAGGACACATTTTCAGCTCGGGAAAGAAGTACTCACCGGAGTTTTAAGTCGATCAGAAACTGGAAAACGAAGATAGGATGCAGCTCCACGAACGGCTTGAATCACGCTAGGCGTCACTACGGACATTCACCACACCCGAGAATCCGCCGCGCCGTGGCACCATCTTGCGGCCGCTCTCTGCATTACTCCCACAACCGCGCGGTGGGACAGAATGAGCACTCGCTTTCCCTAACAAGGAAAACGTATTTCCGAGGTCGAGGCTTTCGACATTTCTTCCTTTTTTTCTCTCCTCTTGATTAAGCGAATCAGAAAGCGCCCCCCGCGATTTTTCATTCGTTTTTTATCCGCCTCTTTATATTTTTTTATTAATTTTCTCGAGGCGAGGTTTCGGAGCGAAAGGCGGAACCTCGCCGCTCGAGCTGAAGAGCAGAAGGATAATTATTATCGCGTTTTATGGATAATTATGTACCGGGGATCTATAAAGAGTTCCTGGATAAGTTTTCTAATTTGAGCTAGGAATCTTGGGGTTTACAATGGATAAAAGGTCCGCGCTTTGGATCAAGGAGAGAGGAGCCGCTCCACGCCTTATATGGATTTTCCTTTTAAGGAGTGCGATTCACTCATTTGGCAATCGGTTCAAGAACGACCGGTATATACAGCCAAAAGTCGACAACGATGTCAAAATCGACCGGTCTAAATTAAGCTAGAGAGGATCGAGAATAAGGCTAGTCGTGTGAAACAAAGTCGTTGCTTTATTCGCCCCGTGGTCCTCAGGGGCTCTAACGCTGGAACGAGTCTTTAGAACTACGAGTAATGAGTTGAAATAATTAAAAGATCGTATATACAGAATGATACACACTCGGTAATGCCGGAGACCGAAAGCAGGACGATTTCGCACTTTTCTCCCGAAATATCAAAGTTCCACTTTCGCTCCGACACCGCAGGTCTCTCTTCGTTGGCTCACTCCCGCAAGCCGAAACACTTTGGAGTCTTTCTCGCGTTTCCACCGATGGGTTTGTCATTTTTCTGGAATTATTTACACGTCGAAGGTTCGGCAGAATTTGTGAAAAATCGCTATCACTATCGCACGGAGACACCGTTTATCGTGATGCCATTTCTGGCGACCGGCTCCGCTTCGTAGTGGCCCGACCTGTTGTAGACTCTCCTGCCATTGGTTCCGTATCTGGAATAATTCCCGAATTACGATTATTATCTTGATTTATTAATTCGCAGGATATAGGAGAATTCATGGGTACCCGTATGCGCTTCCGGAAATACTGTAGGGACTGTCGTAGAGACCGTCCTCAGGGACGTTTTCGTACATGGTGTTGGTGGTTCCGTCATTTAGACTGGCGTACGACATGACGGCTGCGTTTTGGTCCTCCTTCCTCTCCGCAGCTTGGACATTTTCCGTGTTTTTTACGGGAGTTGCCTTTCGACTGAGGGATAAAAAAAATTGTTATATTCCGTCGCAGCAGCGGACCCGTAGACCGACTTACAGCCTGAGGTACACCAGTCCTAAGATCAGGAGAATGAAGAGGATGACACCAGCCCCGATGCCAACACTCGTCCCGACACCTTGAGCTTCTGCAATCTCGTTCGTTGCAACTGAAAGAAATATTTTATATTTAATTTCCCATTCAAATTCAGACGAAACAAGGAGGGTACCTTCGCATCTAGGCTCCTCTCCGCTCCAGACTCCGGTGTCCAGACACTTCCTGAGGAAAGGACCTATTCTCTCGAATTGGGGCAGACAGTGGTATTCGGCAGCTCCCCCGAAAATGGTGGTGCCATTTACCACGATAACTCTCCCGTTCTCAATGGTACCTGGATGCTTGCAGTCCACGGCTGAAAATTCGAAAAGTAGTGAGAATTTCTCCAGAGGTGGGTTTACAGGGGAGCGAGATAAATGTTTTAAAAATTACAGAAGCAGGCCGGCATGGACCCACTCCAGGATCCATTTTGCAGGCACACCCTGGTCTCGTTGCCCTCCATGAAGAACCCACGAGGACAGCTGTAATGTGCCACTCCACCGATGCTGTGGGTCGACACTTGGGTGGAAAGCACCTCGACTTTCTCGGGGTCCTTGCATCTGATTTCTAGAATATTATCTCGATTTTTCTCACCTGCCTGGGTGGAGTTCTGGAGGGAATTTAATTTTTCAAGAAAAGGACATACCTCGGCAGACGGGAGTCTCGCTACTCCAGGTTCCGTTCTCCAGACACAGTCTCCTGGCAAAGCCTTCCAGCTCAAAGTTCCCATCGCACTCGTAGAGTGCAGCGGCACCGTAATAAGTTGCATTCGAAGTCAGTGTGTACCGACCGTGTTGCATTTGCTCGGGCTTCCCGCAGTCTACGTCTGAAATAAAAGCAAATGAGGAAAACCAGGGAAAATTGAGATTCGCAGTCATTGTTACCCTCCTCCACTTACAGACACATTGGGGCACTTCTCCGCTCCATTTTCCATTATCTTCGCACGTGGATAATGGGTCCCCGACCACTTTGTAGCCCCTCTCGCACCTGTACTTGGCGAGTGCGCTAATTTTGTAAGAAGTCGCTCCAGTATTTGAATTTTCCGCAGTGCCGGTTCGAATCAGCGTTCTCCCATACATTCGGTCGTTCCCGGTGACGGAGAGAATCCCGTGCTCCGCCAAAATCGGTTCCGGACAGCGAATTTCTGAAAGTGCATTTCAGACATCAGAGTGATATTATGTTCACACGTTATTTGTATTTATTTTAAATACCCACCCTCGCATTTTGGAGTCGCGTCGCTCCATTGACCATTATCCAGACAGTACCTCCTTGTAACTCCGTTCAGCCTGTAATTTCTCGTGCATCCATAGGAGATCTCACTTCCCAGGTGTGTGGTTCCGTTGATGTACTCCACAGCCCCGTTCAGAACTGGCAGAACCTTTCCGCAATCAACGACTGAAATGAGGGTTGCGTTAAAATTTCTAGTCCTCCTAAAAAATTCCAAATGCACTCACATTCGCACGTGGGAACGTCTCCGGTCCACTCTCCGTCTTTTCCGCAGGAATGTCTCGCTTCTCCGTGAAGCAGATATCCAGCTTCGCAATGGTACTCGATGACACTGTGGACATTCAGATCGTAGCCCACGACGTAACTTCCGGAAGGAACCTCGGGCTCTTCGCAGGTGATCACTGTAGTAAATATTTGGGTATTAATTAATCTCCGTTAAAATTAAATAATTTCTTTTCAAATCGCTTACGTTCGCAAGAAGGTGTCTCGTGACTCCACTTGCCCTCCCTGGTGCATTTCTGCCTAGATTCTCCAACGAGCCAATAGTCATCTTGGCAGGTGTACAAAACTTCGCTGTCAACGGTAGTGGTCCCGTTCATCAAGGTGACGGTGCCAAACTCCACCTGTGCAGGTGCTCCGCAATCGACGAACTTACACTGGGGTGCCTTCCCTGACCATTCGCCGCCAATGTCGCAGGTCAAAACCTTGACAAAAGATGAATTATTAAATCTAAACGAGAGAGCTCGGCGTAAGATAGCAATTTATCTCGATATGGACCACTCACATTGTCTCCGAAAAGTATGAATCCGTTTTGACAGGTGTAAGTGGCAGTGGAGCCAACTCGACGTCCTGTCACACTGGCCACCCCTCCGTTCACGCTCGGCGGTTCCGGGCACCAGTCAACTGTGGAAAATAATAGCGAAATTAGCGATTCAAGGTATTAAAAGATATTCCATGGCCACGGGGAAGAGGATATTTTACTTACAGAGACACTGGGGTTGATGCCCGCTCCAAATACCGCCGTCTCCACATTTCCGCTTCGCGTCTCCAACTAGCGTGTAATTCTCCTTGCACGTATAATCAGCTATTGCCCCGTAAGTCGTCCTCTTCTCTTCAAGGTTGACGACTCCGTTTTCAAATGCCGGAAGCGGACCGCAGTCGACGACTGGAACATGGAATTTCCATTCCAAGGAGGGTCTTCTCGAGTGCCAAGGAAAGTAGAATATATTTTAAGGTAATAAATGCTCACATTTGCAGGCCGGTGCGGAGTCGCTCCAGAAGCCGGAAGGCTCGCAGGTTCTGACACCGGAACCGAGAAGCATGTGACCGGAAGGACAAACGTATTCGACGGTGGCACTCACGGACCTCTTCGTTCCCACGACCGTCGTGTTCTCGGTTTTATCTGGACTGCCGCAAACGGAGGGTTCTGAGAAAGAGAAAAATTAAAAATTAGTAAGTATCGGTTAAACGGGAGTAATTTATAGATTTCTAATTATTCGGGCACTAACTGCTTTGACATATCCAGTGCAGGTAGTCCAAGTTGCATCCGACGTCGTTCCAAAGCCAGCCTCTCCCACCGTCCAGGACCACGCAATTCTGCTCGCCATTGTAATTATTGGGCTGGTCCTTTCCCCACGAGGGCTTCTGAACGATTTCACCTGAAATATGTATATTTATTAGGCCTTTCAATTTTATTTCTCCAGTCCTTAACGGGGTGTCTGATTTCTCCCCTAATGGCCCGAACTGTAAAGAAAACGACTCCTAATGGACGATCGCTTTTATTCGTTACGACTTTGCCGCAACTTCCGCTCGATGTCGTCACGCCTCTACTTTCACGTTCCCTTTATTAAGCTTGGTACGCGATAGGTGGACATTCAACGAAAATAATGGAGGTCGAACCCACCGTCGACCCATCGCCAGGTCCTGGCAGTGATCACGGGCTCCTTCTGGGCTCCGATCCAAACCAGCTGGGTCTTCAGCTTGTCCTTCCTTCTTTCGAGGTTGTTCAGGATAAAGGTCGCGGACACTCCTTTGAATCCGTGGACTAGATCGCCTCCTCTGGCCCTGCAGTAGGACCTCGCGTCCTGGAAGGATCCTCCCTTCTTCACGATGAACTCGTAGCAGGTGGAATTGAACGCCGCTATGTCCGCATCAGCTGGGGTCCCTGCATGGGCACACCTGTCCACGGAAAATTCTGAAAAGACGAATCAATCGAGATTCCACCTGTTTAAAAAATCCTCCGGAAGAATAACAGCTAAACTCGGAATCGGTTTCGCAGGACAAGGCGAGCGGAAAAAATCCCCGCAAAAAGCGGAGCGCGCTATTCTTCCCGATTTCTCCGGGCATTTCGTAAAGATCTCGGTCCACCTCGCTCGAGCAGATCGATCGATTTCGCTCGAACGACCCAGTAGGGAAATCATCGGAACTCGAGGAACTCACCGTCCGTAGCAAAGACCTCCACCTCGCAGAGGCTGAGGCTTCCCTCGACTCCGACTAGTTGAAGGAACACGTATTGGCCGACGAGTGCCCTGGCACATGCGAACGTCTTCGTCATGCCCTCCTCTGGAAATAATTTATGACGTTGATCATTTTTTTTTTCCCTTACAGGTGACTTTTCCTGCCCCAAAGACTCACCTATGGTGCCAGGAAACCAAGCGCACAGGGGATTTCTCTGAAGCTCCGCACTGCTGTTGCCGACCCTGATTTCGATGTCCTGAAGAGGCTGGTGCCCTGTACGTTGATCGGTATAGAAAAGGATCGAGTTCGAAGGGGAATGTTGATACGAAATTTGAGAAATTTACCGCAGCATCCTCTCGTGGTGACTCGAACGACTTTGACGGAGTAGGGCTTGAGAAGGTCCACCCTCCACCAAGGGCTAGGTTCGCTTTGGGTCTCCGTGCACCTTTTGCCATCGTGTTCGGTCCCAAAATCGCCGTCGTTTCCGTGGGCCGCGTCGCCTCCGCGAACGGTCGTGGACTGGTTAGCGGGTCGGCGGAAACCCACGTTCGTTCCTGAGGAGAAAACCGATTTCTGGCTTTAATCCTGAGAAGGATTGCCCGGTCGATTATTCCTACGGTGCGAAAGGTTCCCACGACGAAACGCCGGCGATCGCTCGATTTCTCACGGCGAGGATTAACGTAAACCCGCTCGGGAATTATGAAATCCCACCCGAGATTTATTAACCCCGATTCAATGGTCGCTTACCCCATTCGGTGATTTTCTCCTGTCCGGGAAAAAATTCAGGGGAAAGGGAGAAGAAAGACTCCTATTTTTTAACGGGGCTACGGGAGTGGCTTCTCACAGCGAGGTCGAGGGAGATCAAAGCAGGGCTGCGCAGGAAAATTGCGGGAGCTTACTTAGGGTTTATTAATCGCGGTTTAACAGTCGCGTAATTGGTCGTAACGAGACCGGCTACCGGTACGTCCATGAATGGAGGCCTTACCGGGCGCTCGTAACGCGTCCGAGACGTTCTGCAAGAACGACCTGTAATTGCGTATTATGCTCCATTTTTTCCGCTGCGGAGGCTTCGATCGCGCCACGGAGCGGGCTTTCGAAACCGAGAGGGAAATTTCTCCGGCGGGAAATCGCCGTGAAAATTCCCGTCCGCGATCGGTTACGAGGTTCGACCACTTCCCGGGGCTCGTTTCCTCGGCGGGTTTCGAAACGGACGATCGCGTGGTGCGCGATATTATGTTATCAGGAAGGAGGCCTTAATTGGACGTTTAAGCCCGCCAATCGGAGAAAGACGTCCCGTTCGACGACCTCCAGGAATCTTCGGGAGGGGTTTCAGAAATCGGCGGAGAAAGTGCGCCCGCGATCCGCCGATGAAAAGGACTGCGAATTTCGCGGAACAAATCCCGACTGGGTTAGGAAATCGCCAGTCCATTGAGTCGTCTCGGAACCGAGTCCGGAGTTCTCGGAGAAACTCACCGCAGAACGGCAGCTCTCCCTGCCACCGACCTCGGCTGCTGCACGTCAGGGTGCTGGATCTGAAATTAAAAAAAAGAAAATTAATAAAAAACCTCCCTCTACCTCGAACCACTCACGAAACCTCGGCTCACGAGGAGTGGAACGCACTCTCTCGAAGCTTTCCTTCGAATTTCCCGTCCGGGAATTTTTTTTTCTTTAAATTTTTTTCGATAAAATGCGAAACACGCGATGACGTTCAGACTTCGTGAACTCTCTCCCGCCTCTTCCCCGGTATCGGGGAAGAATTCTAAAGCGGAGAAAGTAGCGTGCCGAGGTGCACGTACGATGGCTTTAATTGAATCGACTCGGGGTCCCGGTTAATATCGATACGTGTTGCGCTTCGCATGATAAAATGATAAAATCGGTGCATCGAGCCGGCCCCCGAAATAATCGCTGAATAAATTCTATTGGGAATTTCGACACGCCCTCGAAAAGAGAATCGGTCTGGCAGGTTGATGCAAATTTCTGGGGACCGTCATCCCTCTATTCTCCGTACATCCTCGTCAGCGGATATGACTCGCGTTTCCTCGACGTAGAGCAAGGGACACCTCTTGGCAGCTGGAGTTCCCGGGGTAAGACGCAGAAACGCAAAAACGCGAAGGCAGGTTTTACGATCCACTTGGGCCTAACTGCAATCCCACATTCCGAGTCTTATCCACGACCAACTAAGTAACGACCCAATTTTACGAGGGCGCCCATTGAAATCCGCTCTGGATAATCTTGCACTTTCCCGGAAAGAATCTTTCTTACGCGGCTCGCAACAGGACGACGAACCGTCGCGGTCGGGTCTTTCCTAAAGGCGGAAAAAGCGAGAGAAAGACTCTCCTGGATATGGCCCGTTTCACGCAACCGAGCCGCCGCTTTTCTTGCGGCGGCCTACCCATTCATTAAGAGAGAACAAATAAATCATAAATCGGGAATAATAAATCGACCATTCGATTAAAATATCGGCTTACCCGAAGAGCTCGTAGCCGGCGTCGCAGGTGTACGTAGCCAGAGCGCCGATGGCTAAGCTCTCGTCCGACAGCGAGACTCTGGCGTTCATAGGCACCGCCGGATGTCCGCATCTCGTATCTGGAAACCACCGAGAAATCAGGACACGTGGAAAGGGGAACGCGACAGGGGTAACGATTTATCGAACGTAATCACACGGTGCTCGGGCCTCGATAATGCACCTATCGGAGAAACTTTGTTCGCGCTCCCTGTAACAAAAACCAGGCCTCGCTTCCCGAAAGACGAAGGATTTCACCGAGCGTAAACTCTCGATAATAACTCTCGACGCTAAGTTTTTTTTTTCCTCTCCAAAGGAACTTTCTTCGGGGAGAGCAGCCGGCTTCGTTAAGCGGCTCGTTTGCCATAGGAATCCGGAAAGCGTTCGGCGATTCCTGTCGTGTCTCGAGGCACTTCGCACCTGGATAAGTCCCCAGCGAGTGTACCGAGGTGGCAATGACATTACGGCTTTGGAGCAGACAGGATGTTCGCCAATTAGGCGACGAAGGACACCCGTCATCGAGCCTGCCTCTCCGAGCTCGACTAATGGCCGCGGCGACGAGACGAGGGATTCCTTTTTTCCCGCGACTTTTCCGCGAGTTTTTGCTCCGAAAAGGAGGCAGGAGAACAAAAGGAGGATGCCGGGTTTCACGACCGCTCGGCCGATTTTACGAGGGATCGCTCGAGCGAGCACCGAGTCCACGGTGCGTGACACGAATCGCAGACAAACCGATTCCGTTGCCCCGTTTTTGCGAACGAGAGCGACGAATTTGCCAGCAGAAAAGGTGGCTCGCATTGCAAACCGAGTCGCGGATCGCGAATCGCATCATGGACTGGCCAGCCTTGAGCGGAGTCCCACGCGAATGCCATTATTCGAATTCCATGGTTCTTTCCAGGAGCGTTTTCCGTCTCCCGGAGGATGGTCGCGACCCGAGTCGGGATTTCTCATGGTCGCAAAGTGCGAGACTCGTTTCACCAGCGACTGGGATTTTTTTCTTAAATAATTCCTCGCGATCCGCGGGAGCCTGGAATTTGCGCGAGCGTCCCTTGACCCATCTCGATTCGCTGACTCCGTCCACCGCTAGAAACCACGCAATTCGGCCAACTCGTGAGGCAATAAACAGTTGCATTTTATGCCCCAGTTTACGACTCGTCCTGCCGTGCATCTGGTAAACGCGAAGTGGAACGCGAAACGAGTCTTAGTCGCGTAGGGAGCAACGCCTAGCGGTACCTCTTCTGGGGCTCGAAGACACCTCGTTTTCCGGGGAACTGGACCATCCTCAGTAGGAAACGAGCCCGTGCGCAATTTGCGAATCTGGCACCGTAACGATTTCGCAAAGGCCCCGTATTCGAGATGCAATCGCGGCCAGGTGTATGCGGATCGCGGACTTTTTCGCCACAAGGGAAAGTCCGTGGGTGCAAGAAGATGGAAACCAAGACACGTTCGCGCGTCCTCGTAACATCTCTGGAATAAGAGTCCAGCCTTCCAAAAGCGAAATTCCCTGGAAATCGGGTTCGGAAGGTACGCTTCCTGAATTGCCTTCGAGACAGGTGACCGAATCCGGAGGTCGGTGGAAATCAGCTGATCTTATTCGGTGGAGGTTCAAAGGGGACGAGTCCGAATGAGACACGAAGAGCGCGACCCGTCCAGGGTGAAAGCCTGGAAAGGCTGATACGACATTCCTCGACATCGTCCGGAGCATCCTACTTCTCAGAACGGAGATAGAAATGGGCGTGCGAACCTGAATAATTAGTCGAAACGGGAGTACGAGACTAAGCATCCATTAGCGCGATCCGCACTTGCTCCCCTTCGACCGAGCTCTCCATTGGCCAATTATCCTCCTCTCATTGAGAACCCGGGAACGGATCGTGACCATTCTCTTCGACGATTTATCCTTCTCTCGAGGATAGAAACGTATAAACTCGCCTGTACATATCAGAGCCCGATATCTCGGCGTAGGAAAGGTGGCACCCGTCGTGGACCCTGTGTCTAGCAGCGATTCTCCCGTCAGAAGACAAGGTACATTAATTCCTTGGATATATGTCCTAGACGACGCAAGGAACCTGCATAAGAGCCTCCTGACATTCGACGAGCACCGATTTTTACCATCCTACCAGCTAGAAAATAATTTCTTCATCGCTCGCGAGAACTTGTCGTAATCTCTAAAGTGATTTGCTCTCGGGGAAAAAAGTCCGAGGTACTTCGACACCCCTGGCAAAAAAGTCTCCCATGTGCCGAGGAAATTGTTTTTAATGTTCCCCCGAGTGTGAAGGAGTCTGGCGAGTTTTACGAGCAGTTTCTAGACCACATGGAAATTATACATTTCAATCGCGCCTCGGTAGCGCAACCGAGTCAGCTGATCGGCCGATCGGCGGTGCAGCCCTTCACGCTCCGAAAAGGGATCGCGGTGGTTTCTATCGACGTAGGAATTTTGCCACGGCACTGTACGTTGTCGGGCTATTAAGTTTACAGTATAGGTGCGTGGTAGGGGCCGCACGAGTCTGGGTCATTCGGTTACAAAACCTCAAAGCCGAAATAACGGTATGGCCTCTCCTCGGGCAAGCCGTATAGCATCGAGAATGCCGGGACCTCGATCTGGCTCGACGGTATTAACTAGAAGAGTGGTACCGTTAATGCACGTTAGCGTATCTCCGTATTCCACTCCGAGTTACGCTTTGTTCCCTGCGGATCGAAAGTGTCAGACAACGGGCGTGGTAGCGCCCACAGAGAGCAAGAGGTATCCAGTGGAACGAGACACCGTTCTCGGTTGGTTCGATACTTGTCGCTACCCTCGCTGCCAAATGCATTCCCGTAGGTTAACCTGGTTAAAAAAGAAAGGAAAAAAAGAAAATAATCTCCCTAGGTCAAGCGAGGAATTTTTCGAGCGAACGACGAGAGGAGAGAGTCGGTTTAATCGGCCCCTGGAAAGCACGGGAGCCGAGAAATTCTTCGAGCCTCGTAACGGAGCCGATTTTACGAGTAACATTGCGAAATCGTGCGTTTGTTTTGCGTAAAGTCAACGAGGCAAAGAGAGCGAAGTTTACGGGCGCGAAGAACCGGTTGACACTCTCGGGGCACTTTCGGTCTTGGGGCGCGTCCACCGTTGCAACGATATTTCTTTTTTTGTCTTTCTGCTCGCAAATAGGCTCCTTCCGGTTTGTCTTTCCTGGAAGAAAAGTGCCTCGGACGTGGGCCCTATCGATGGAAAGTCGGACGTCAACCTGTACGCGAGTTTCGATTTCCCAATCCATTGTTTTGAACGGCGCTGCTCTTGCGAAAGAGACCCCACTCGCCGTCTCGCTCTCTCGCGATCCTCGGTAGGAAATCAGAGGAGGTTGCGAAACCCCCCGGATTTTTCGCACCTGCTCCAGTCTCGCTATCTGTTCGGAAAATCGGTTATTAAATGTCACCGTAACGCCGCCGGATGATTTCGCGAGTTTCCGCCGACGAGGGGCGTCGGTCCTCGAATAAAGGAGCGCGTTCCCACCCAGGAAGGAAAGGGAAAAGAAATCATTCCGATCCCTATCGCGATCCCCTTTCCATATTCCACGCCGCAATCGAATTAATTCAGCCACGAGGATGATGAAAAAAAATCACCAGTGGGCGAAATGTCATCCGACCGGCCGCGGTCTGCGCGAACTTCCGGCAGGAAGGAAAGTCGAGACAAGTCGCCATTGACGCGATTACGGAGCAGATCGTTACGTTCTCCAAGGGGCGTTGTTCTTCCGAGTTAAGTCGGCACATAAGATCCCATCGACGTGCATTCTCGCACCAGTCGGGCTGGCTGCGAGGTCTAAATGTTACGTCTATCCCACCGACGCGTTCTATCCATTACCATCCATTTATTTCCAGGCCCACGTTCTCCAGAGCCGGACCCGTGCCCGCTAGTAACGGTCGCGGCTTACGTGATAACGCGATTAATTCGCCGCGTTTCCGATCGGGGCGGACTTATCGAGGAAAGAATCAAGAAATCGGATTCCTTCGAGCCGCTAATTAAAGGATGCCTCGGTACGCGAACGGCGATGCAACGACACGCGGAAATGAAAGGAATTGCGCGAGAAAAGTGACCGAGTGAGGTAATAACAACGGTGCCGGATAATGGACTGCTAAGGTACCAATTTCTGGTAAGAACGACTTCGAGCGGCGTTCAGCCTTCGCCTAAATTTACTTTACCCGCGACTCGCCGCCTGCGTGGTAAACGACGCCGTAAACGCAGTTAGAATTTTGCGCAACGAGGCATTCCGCGGATAATTAACGCTTTTAATAAAAATCCTTTTTTAGCGGAAGGTCTCCTCGGCGGACGTCTTCCCGCGGATCGAGACTCGCCGTTCGAGGCGTTCCGGCAATTTCGTCGGACTATTTTCAGCGAATCCTAATTATTCGAGGCTCGGTGGCCGTAGGAATATGCTAATTGCCGCTGAAACGGGGAATAACGGGGAACAATGAGGGGGAGAGGTCATCTCCGTTTCGCAACGCGGCCGAACCCCGAAGTGGCTTGTCTGGGCGCAAAGTGAGTCACACTTTTGACACTTTTAATGACCCCCTAATTACCATGACTAGGTGAGAGCATCGAGTGCGTATAAGGTCAAGGCTGTCCTAGGCAGACGTAGCCGAAGAACGCCGTAATCTGTTTGCTAAGAGGATAATGACAGCGACTGTCAGTTAACGTTCTGGGAGCGCACTCGCCGGTGCAGTACCCCCAACAATTAGTCCTGCGTTTACAGGAGATAACCCGGTGCCGTAATCGCGTGTCCGTAAATACGCGTCCGAAGCACCTGTGCTCGCTAGAAATTTTCTCCCGGCCCTCGAGGTTTCCCGCGTAAGGTGGAACACCTACGCCGCCGACCTCGTGTCGCTCCCGTTAAAGAAATTCGTTTCTCGGCTCCTATAAGGACTCGAACAAACGTACGACTCCCACCCACGTCCGAGGTTAATGTTCTGCCGGCTAAAAAAGCGGCTCCGGGGTCTCCTGTAGAATGTCCTCTACCTGGACACATGGAAAAGAGACCGGAGAACGAGCGAGGTCACCCTCGAAGACTTTTGTCTCAACGAAGAGTGCCTCCATCTAATTCCACTACGCGCGATTATTTTCCCGCTTCATATCATCTCTCTCTCTCTCTCTCTCTCTCTCTCTCTCTCTCTCTCTGTGAAGTAGAAAGAGCAGGAGGCAAAGAGAAAGAGTAGATTCTATTTTAAAAGCGATCCCGGTAACGCGAAACTCCAAGGATATCCACGGAGGGACAACCGACGAGCCTAGCGTTGTTTTCCTTTCTTTTTACCGCCATGTTGTCCCGCAATCGAGAGATATTCTCGTCGAGGAGTTCGGTGGGACTCGAATTTTCGAGTGAATTAAAAAATCCTCGATCGTGGAGTCGTCTTAATTCTCGTCGAATCCCCAGGCGATGTGGGTCACCGGCGATTCGCATCGCGTTTCAACGGGAGAACAGGTGTCCGACTCTACCCCACTTCCGGTCGGTACTGCACCGAGGTAAGAAGGGGAACTCTGGAAACGCCGAATTCGTCGCAGCTGCGCCTCGTCATATGGGCTGAATTTAAAATAATCCTAATTTTCCGGTCACGATTTGGATGATCTTCAGCGGCTTCCCCTCCTCGTCGATATTCTCGCCGAAGTCACACACGCGGCGACCTCGGCAGTCCAGAAACCGAGCGAGGACGCCGGCGGAGTGGGTGGCGCCTCGTTCACGGTCTTTTTTCAGCGCGAAATCGATTTCGAGCGCAAGAAACCGTTCTTTCCTCATCGGGGCCTCTCTCTCTCGAGACCCGGAGACTTAACCACCTCCAGAACTGCGATCTACGAACCGATCGACAAGGATCCACGGGCTCTTAATCCCGCTCCGCGGTTACCTTGAGCCGGAGAAAAGGAAAAATGGCCACTCTCCGCGTTAGGGAGGGATAAATCGTACCTTGCGCATCCGCGACCGTCTTTCCCACCAGGGACACCAGGATTACGGGGACCAGGAACATCCTCCGGAAGCCGCTCGAGCCAGGCCTGGCTCTCACTCGACCATCTAGACACCTTCCTCGAGATCCCGACAACCCACGACGTAGCCACGCATCGGTCCCACGTGTGGACGCACTTTTTGCCCGGGAGAGTATCGGTTTTCTTAAAACCTTTAGGTCCTTCTTCAAGGTGTCTCAGGAAACCGCCGAATTCGCCTCTTCGGCGAAGGACCGCTTCTTTCCCGACATTCGAGTCTCCGAGTGGAACCTCGCTTAAGGCGATGCGCGCATTGAAGTCTCCAGCGTCGCCGCGACGGGTTGTCAAGCGATGCGCAAACAGCTGTCAAAGGCCAAGCGGTCTTTTCGACGGCATCCTCCCGCAATCCTTTGTCGACCTTATCCTCGCCGAAAGAGGCTACGATACCTCGCACCGTCCGCCTCGTTACTTCTCACTGGCACGGGATAAAACACGGAGATAACTTATCACTGTTACCGATATAAGTTACGATAAGTAACGTTCCTCCTGTGGAAGGTCGGATCCACCGCCACGTCCTTCGCAGAAAGGCCAAACTCGCGCCACGTAGTCTCCTCTTTTCGGAGTCGATTTTCGGCGATCGTTGAATTTTTTTCAGCAGAGCTTCGCGTTATCGGTCAGCGATTAGGATGCAGTTTCGGTGGGTCCAGCGACATATTTGCTAGAACGCGTTTGCGGCGTTACCCGGTCACTCGGATTGGACGATCCGTTCCCTTCACCGGCCGACGACGGAGTGCCCCTGGCTAGACCTCCTTGCTTCTTGGATATGAAAGTCCATCGGCGAGCCGCGGCCGCTTTTGAAGCGGACTGTATATACCCGGCTGTAGTATGTACACCGGGCCTGTATATGCGCGATATTCCTGCGGCTTGTAACGCCGTTGTAATGGCTCCGCTCCGTATTAGAGCGCTCGAGGTGCACCTATGCATACCGAGTGCACCAATGCACCGGCCGCGGCGTTATGCCTCTGCTTTATAGCGACGTCGCTCGTGCCGCCGCTCGTTCCTAAGATTTTCCGCGATCTCTAGGAAATTCTCACGAGACCGCGCCCACCCGGGTCCCCTCGAGGAGATCGAAATTGGCCCGCGCTCCAATTTATCTCTCGGGCTCCACGCCTGGATTTCGAGCCCGCGGCATCCCATAAGGCTTGCAAAGTGAAACGCGAAAATAAATCGTCCCGCCACGACGGTCCCCAGGGCATTAGCCTCGTCCCCAAGGAAGACTTCGTTTTGTCCCCGCGAACGTCCTACGACATCCGGGAGCCTTCTGGTTTCTCGTTTCGCGAGACCGCTAATCTCGGAGATAATTGTCATCCATCGAGAGCCTCCTCCCGAGTCGGAAGCCATTCCTAGGACTCATAATCCCGTCACTCGAAGAAAGCGGTACCCACGAGGCGATACCATGGTAATCGGTGAAATGCATCGCGGATGCATCGTGCGAATATTTACACATCCCAGATCGCAGATTGCAAATTGAATGCCAACCCGGGAGCGCCTCCAGAGCGATTCCCCTCGATTTTCCCCAGCCTTGCTCCCGATTACCTTTCCTCGCACCACGCACTATCGGGCCCGTTTCATTTTGTTATCGATCGCTCGAAATTACGGGCGAACCTTGAAATAGTCGCGATTCGCCCAATCCGGTCCGGCAGGGCCACTGGTGCGCAAAAAAAAAAATTTCTCCCGGACTTGACCGATGGCCGATCGGACCCGGCGCTCCTTTTAACCGCGACAAACCGGTCCGTATTTATACCAGAAGGCTTTTCCTCGTCTCGCGAATGGCTCTCCACAAGTGGAAAGGCGCGGCCGCGGAATACCGCGGATACCCCCGAAAAGCCTCATCTCTACTTCTCATCTGGTTTTCCCATTTCCTCTCGGATCCAGAGGCCCTTTCATCGCCCGCGATCGTCGCCGCTCCTGCCGAGATACCTAAACCGGCCCGCCTAGAGAGAAGGCATTTCCCGGTCCGCGATCGCGATCTTCGGGTGGAAGGGCGCGGCAGCCCCCTCAAAAAATCGAGTGCACCCCGAGGATCTCTCACCTTCGAGATCGGACGCGGTTCGCGACTCTTGCTCGGCCCAGCCTATAAGGTTACCAGGCTGTACCGTTAAGTCCGCTCGCCGGTCGAGCGCGATCGCGTTTCCCTCCTCCTCTCGGCCACCTGGAATTCCCCTCCTCCGAAGGTTTTTTCCCCGGCGAGTGACGTCAAGAACCAAAGCCCCTTTCACCTTAAGCAAGGTTCGGTTTGATAGAGGGCAGGTGAGTCGATAAACTGCCTGGTTCATGGCTGACCGAAACTCCTCCTTTTCCCCTTGGCTCCGAGGCGGTTCGCCTTTTTCCTCGCGAGGCCTTCCAAGGTCGAGTCTTTCCGAGGGGGAGGAAAAATCGGGAAAAACTCCCGCTCCCGTCATCTCCGAGGTGACGTTCGAATTCACCCGGCAGGTTCGCTCCGCGCGGTTTCGACCAGGTGCAGAAGCGGTACCTGGCAGGCCATCTGCCGGAAAGCTCCGCATCCAGCTCCCCTCTTTGCACGTCTAGCTTTATTCGAGGAGCCCTCGAGCGGCGAGTGGAGTACGCAGGCGTAGACGGCATGGAGGCGTCTAACATGGAGCCGGTCGCTATGGTCCCGAGTCGTCACCCCGGGGACAATTTGAGGCCTCCAACCCGCCCTCGGAGGCGCAGCGCGTCGGCCGCGAGCCTCGCCACCACGTGAGTAGCGACCCCGCCGAAAATCCTGACCCCTGACCCCGAGGTCCGACCGTCGCGACCTGGGAGAGAGCTCGAGCTTTCGACGCCTCGTGCGAACGAGCTTCCGGGCGCGCCTTTCCCTCCGCACCCCACCCCTCGAATCCAATTGACAACAAATCGATTCCGCTCGAGACGAGCCGTATCTACCGATGGAAGAAGTCGTGGCCCGGTCCAGGGGACTCTTTTTCGCCGGCGAGATCGAACCGATCGATCGCCGACGACGGACGTCCCGACGTCCCTCGAGAGACGCTCGTCCTCCATGTCGAGAGAAACCGCGCAAATCGCGGGAATTTCTTGGATTATTTATCATTATTTTAACATCGAGAACAGATTACATGGGGGTGGAGGGCTCGATATAACTTGAGGTCAACGAACGAATGAACTTGCAGGTGAATCAACCCGGAGAGAGGAGAGGTGCCAGGGCACCCCCGACATGGCCGAGGGCGGGGGCGAGGGGCGACCCGGAGAGGGTCAGGTCTCGAAGTGCCAGACGGAGGTCAACGAGTGTCTCGGCAGTTGGCTGACCTATCTGCAGGTGTTCGGAGGCTTCCGATTTTGGACGAATCAGGGGATTTTGGTTATTTCGGAGGTTCTTTTCCAGATGCTGAACGGCCTGTGCTCGGCCGGGACAAAGCTGGCGCAGTCCCTGCAGGCCCTCCTGGCGTCTCACGAAGGGACCGCTCATTGCAGGCTGACGGGACAGTGCCTGGCGGGATGGGAGGAGCTGGCCAGGGCCACCAACGTGGCCAGCAACACCGTCAAGAACCACGTGGTCGCTGCCCTGAGGGACCACGAGACGAGGGAGAACGACGGTGACAAGCACGTCAGTAGTAGACAGTTGATCGTACGACCAACGAAGGTGGACGCGCTGAGAGTACGTTCCCGTGACTTGGATTTTTCTTTCCCCCCAGGACATTCTCCGCGACAATCTACTGACCTTCATCAATCTCCAGTATCAGTTCTGCGTCGCCTGTTGCGAGTGCCTGGGTAAATCGCACGGAACGATCGCAAGGACTCCGCGGGGACGTAGTCGGAGGTTCGAATTATTTAATTATTCCAGGGGGCATGGCGGAGTGCTCGTGCTCGCAGACGGGGAACACCGAGTGCGACATCGCGGCCCTTCAGCAGTGCTTCGAAAGGCTTTACAGCCCGCCCCTTGCATCCTCCTCGGTGCAGCAGTCCCAGCCGAACTCGCACAGGTCGCCGCTGCCCTATCCCTTGTTCCCTCTGCAGGTAATCCGGAGTTCCCTCGGGGTCTCCTTGACCACTTCACCGAATCCTTGTTCTTCAAGGTCCAGAGGAGATGGTCCGAGACCGCGGCAGCGGAGATGTCGGGCGAGTCTGCCGAGAACACCGTCAGGAGGTGGTCCATGCCCTGGGACTGTCGCCACGTGACGGAGTGGCCTCGCCAGGAGGCCAGGACCAGGTTGAGGGTTCCTCACCGGGACAGAAGTCGATCCACGACTCCGGATTCCGTCTGGAAGTCCTCCACCATGGCTAGCCAGGATGGCCTGCAGGAGGCCATTCAGCTGCTCTCCTGCAAGCCAGGTCAGGAGAGGTCCTCGGTGCTCTTTGAGACTCGTTGTCGACGGTCGATCTTTTCCGATTCAGGAATCAGACCGTCGACGCAGCTTTCGGCCTACACCGGGCAACACGTCCCGGGCGTCACCCTGACGACCTGCGGTTTCGAGTCGACCTACGATTCGTCGATCTGGCCGGAAGCTCGAGCCATCGGATCCCCCAGGTGCTGGCCCCAGGACTCCCACTCCAGCGATCGGTCCGATCGATCCGGTACTCGAATCTTGATCTTCCGGCTCCTGGTTCGTGGACCGATCAGAGACATTTGACGATTTCTTCCCCAGGGCATCGGGACAGCGACCAGAGCGGCCACAGCGGGGAACACAGGGACTCCGGTGAGAGCCCTTTCTCGGTCTCGACTCTAGGATAGTTCGATCGCTAAGTCTACCTCCTTTTGTCCACTTTTCAGAGCAGAGTGGAGCGAGCGGCAGTAGCGCTCACGGGGACAGCAAGGACAGCATCCACTCCCAGAGCGATCACAGTCACAGGGAGTACGACCCCGGTGAGGCTCGAAACGACCAATTGAAATTTTTCCTCGAGCATTTCGCGAATCACTCCGGTCCTTTTCCAGCGACCAACGATATCCTGCCGTCGAGGAAGAGCAGCTCCTCGACGGATTCCTGCGTCTCCGTTCACAGTCGCTCGGGGTCCGAAAGCGCCGGAGCTGGGGTAACGGAGTGACTTAACGAGTACGCACTTTTCGAAGCTTCTACATGTCCGGTTAATTTTCGTACCTTTTTCAGGAGTGCGCGAGATCGCCGCTGTACTCGATGTGGACCGGAGGAGATCTTCCCTTTATCAAGCTGCCGGAGAGCAGCGAACTTCCGGACGAGCACCCGCCGACCTAGGCGGGTTTTGTCGACATCTCGATTTTTCGACTTCGCGCGTGTCTCTCTTTCTCTCTCCCCGTCTGTCTCCCTCTCGGCCGACCGAGGATTTCGCAGGTGCATATTGACTATGCACGAAAGAGGTTTATAAGTACTTACGTAAGTATCTCTATGTATAGATGTTTACGGTGCGAGAGCAGCGTCGTTTCACAGAAACCGACGCGAGGGCGAACGAATGCACAGGATCGTTCTTCGTCGCAGGGATGATTCGAGACAGCGAAAGAAAAATTCACCGCAAAGTGGAGGCGGCCAAAAGTAATTGGATCGATCGCGGAAATCCCGCGGATCCTCGCCGCGACGGGTTTTTCCTTCCGCGGCGCAGAAGCCGATCGACGAGAAACCACCCTGTCTTTTCTAACACCAAAGTGCCGCGCTCTAATTATTTTAGACAGTCGCCGGACCTACTAGTTGAGGCGACCATTTTTTTTCAACTCCTTCGGAATTAAACCCCTTGCTCATCGGAGGCAGTGCGCGCTTCGATCGACTCGAATGGCCGCGCACTTTAAAATTATAAATAATAAAATGATAAGCTCAATCAGGAGCCGAGGGTGAAATCTCACGCGCGGACGGGGGCAATATGTGAAACATAGTATACAAGGTACATAGGTATAGATACATATGTATATATATCTATATATACAAAATTATACTCGTGTGGCACAGGACGATAATAAAAGATTTGCTATTACGAGTACCTTACTACCACGCTTAAAACGAGTACATGGGCATTATCCTACGCGTGCTGGCGCACTGTAATGTACAAGATGAACGTCTCTAGACACTCCGAGTCCGATCAGTGTTTCTCTGCTGAGTATTTCAGTACCGTCTTTCGATCGCGGGGCGGGGGAGGCCCCTGCGTATGACTTTGCCCGGGTTTGAGCTTCCCTTCTAAAGGGAGCCGAAGGCCGGGCATGGCGCTAGTCTTACGTTAACAACTATTAACCGTTAAAAAAATATATCCACGGCTCGTGCCGTGGTTCGCTTTAAATCCGAGTCCCTGGTCGCGGGTGGCTCTGTCCTTTGACACCTGGACAGGTCTCGGCACTGTCAACGCGGGATTTCTTCGTTTCTTCTACGTTGAGATCGCGAGGTCGTAGGTCACTGGGAACGAGGGAGGTGCTGGTTGGAGAAAATCCCCGGAATGGAAATTCTAATCCAAGTCGTCCTCGACGAGGTCGTCCTCGTCCTGCCCGTAGTCGTCGTACTGGTCCTTCAAGTCCTCCTCCTCCTTGTCGAGGGGACAGTGCACGCATCTCGACTCGTTTATCCCGTAGTTTATGCACGTATCACCGATGCACTCGCAGCAGCCGTCGTGAAACCACCTGTAGCTGGTCGCACCCATGCTCTGGCAGGAGGCTCTGCACTTGTTCCAGGAGTTGCATTGCGCCATGTACGCCACGGTGCAGTTTACGGTCATGACGTTCGGCTTCAGGGTGCGCTCCTCCTGCTCGACGGTCTCTGCAAGGTTTCCTCCTTGTTAAAATAATATTTCCATTTTTTTTTTCTTTTTTTTTTTACGCGACAGCACATCCTTGCCGACTTACGCATGTGGTACTTCATCTCCTTTTCGTGCTTCGGGGTGAAGAGGGAAACGTCAAAGTCCACAGGGAAGGTAAAGGTGAGCCATCGCTCGTGAGGGTCTGGCTCCGCAGTCAGAGCCTGGAAGAGCCCAGGAACTGGCTCGCTGAAATCCTCCACGTGAGATTTCTTGCTGAGAGGGTTGTCCGTGATGTTGGGCTTTGGACACAGGTCTGCAAAGGGTGGGGAATTCATTTTCCACGTCCTGGCTATCTCGCGGTTGTGTTGACTAAAACGAAGGGCTTACCGACGCAGGAGCAGCATTCGTCGTAGAGGTAGCTCAAACAGGAGAAGCACTCCTTGCAGCAGGTGCAGGTCACCAAGTCGCATTTACAGCTTTGCGTGAGCATACACTTGCTGACGACACTGGCGCAAATAGCCTCGTTGCAGGCGTAGGAGAAGTTCCTCGTCGTGATCGCGAGGAGCAGCGTTACTCCTAGCGGCAGGATTACCCTCCACCACGGCATCGTGTCCTGCGGAAAATTTGTTATCGCGTTATTATGGTCGCTCGAGAATTCACGCCACTCGCGAGTGCGGAGAAACTCTCGCTTTGGAATATATCGACGAGTCAAGGCGACACGTCGATCGGTAATTGCAACTCTTCCAGGTGCATGCTAAAACGCTCTCTAGTCTATTAATAAAACGCGCGGCCACGTCCTACGATATTCAAAGTGAATTATTATTGGAAAGGAATGCCCCGTTAACGCGGACTAAACATCCTGGCTGCAGGCGCTCGTTTAACCATAACACACTTCGACTCGCTCCCTGCTTACTTTTTTGGTGCTCTTAGGTGCTTCGCGAGAAGGAAAATCAAAGGCGATCGGGAAATGATCGCCGATCGCAAACCTCTGGTAGATCTTTCCCTTTCTCGTCACGGCGCGATTGATTTTTCGCAATCTCACCTTGCGACTCGATGAGATCGATCGCTCGCGTGGGCGCGCGTTCACCGGTTTCTTTCGGACTTTCGGAGCGATCGAGGCTCGATCCAAGGTAAGAGAGATCGATTCCAGCGAGAAGGGAAGATGGTCCCGGTATTTAATTGAAAAATCGACCCAGATTCCGAATTTTGTCGACTAAGTCGCGGTCGGAGGTGCGTCCGAGCGAGGTACACCGGGCCACTTCGGCTCGGCGACTAATTTGAAGAAACTGGCGTCAATCGGTCTGGGGCACTTTCGAAACGCCACCCTTACCTGGACGAGCAACCCCTCTCGCACCTCCACCCTGTCCGGGAGCGCTTCGGGGTATATAATTTCCCGAGGGAATTAGGCCGGAATTTCGAGTCAGCCAGTTAACCCCATTAATCCGTTTTCCATTTACCCCCTGGGTCGCGACCCCGAAATCCACCCATTTAAAGCTCATTATCGACGATCGTCAAACTCGGGGAATAATTTGAGGAAGTTAAAGGGAGGTCTCGTTGCGGGAAGAGGCGAGGAACGAGACGCGTATTTACCCTGCGAAGGAAAATCGAGGTAACCGTAAGAATTCCTGGAGAAACGTCTCCCGTGGGCCGTGAACTATCCGGACACCCTGTAGGTGAACGTCGATGACTTAACGACTTTATAAAAATCTCGACAAGCCGGCGTAGATGTTTGTCACAGCCAGGGACAGAGGCGCGCGAGCCTCGCCTTGTTCTGGCCCGAGGCAATGGAATAACTTCAATAAGAAATGCCAATCGCCATCTTGAAATGCGTAGAAGTACCCAGTCCTTAGGTTTACATCCCGGGTGGACTCGGGTCGACACCTCTTCCTCGAAGACGCGCCGATCGCCGACACTTGGGGAGCCAACTGCGCATCGTTCACTCCTCGACCCGGTAGGAATAAACAACGGAAAAATGGAAGAGGACGATGGGATGGAATTATCGGCCGCCGACACGTGCCAGGCAGGCCCCTCGTGCGAGGAAAAGTACGGTCAGGGAGTCTCGCGATTTACCTGAGAATCTGCGAGTGGCTACGCAGTTCCTCCTCGATGAGCTACACGGGACGAAGAGCGCTCCACTCTGCGGGCGACCGGTTTCCGCGGCCGCGAGTCATCTCTTCCTCGTCCTCGCGAGACGTCGCGAGACGGGGACCTCTCGACGCGGAAGACCTACGGTCCCCTGGAGCAGGAATCCGAAACGAGCAAAGGGGCGAGAGATCCTCGGGTGTCGCGATTTCCGCGACTCGCGCGGCCGACACGACTTGCGCGACGGGGTAGTTTTCGCCGAGTGTGACGAATCGGATGGAGGAGCGGTTCTCATTGGACTGAATTAAGGAAGAGCGTGGACCGAGGAGTCGGGCGCGAAGAAGCGGAAGGTGGTGGAGGTTCTGGAGGCTGTGGAGGTGGTGGAGGTGGCGGAGAAGGAGGCGAGCCTGGCGGCCGCTCGTTCGCTCGTTCGCTCGCTCGCTCGCTCGAGTAGTCGCCGACTACCGACTGCATAAGACTGGTTTTCAACTTTTTTACGCTTTTTCTCTTACCCGCGTGCCCCCTGCCTCTGCTCCACCTTCAGGTGCGGAGTAACGGGCTGGAGAGCAACGCGCCTTTCCAGCGGACTCCATTTCTCTTTCTCCTTCCGAGCTTCCGATGAGAACCGCTTCTCCGGAAGAAACCGCGGTCTCGGGGCACGAGGTCATTCGGAATCCTTTCTGGACCACGCCAAATCATCCGCGGGATCCGAATCCGTATAAACGAATTTTCCTTTTTTTTTCTTTCAAGACTTTTTCACCTGGAGCGAGGACGAGATCCGGGAGCCCGATGGAGAGTGGAAGGTCGAGGAGGCTCCTTGCTTTTGGGAGCCCGATTACCGTGGAATTCTTCCGCTCGAGGGAGTCGTAAAAGTAGGAGAGGACTGTTAGAAATCCGAGCGATGTATTCAATTTAGCCCAGAAATGAATATTTCAAGGCACGCGAACGAGCTCCTCGCTTCCCTCCTACTGCAATCAGCCTTGTTTAAGCGGTCCAGCGTTTAAGCATTTAGGCGCTTCCGCCACTTCGCGTTCCCGGCTAATTTTCTGGAAAGCAGGCAACGCCGATACCGAGGTGACCAGGGGCCCTGGAATCCGAAAGAAAGAAGATCCCGGCCATTAGTGTGACTAAGCGTTCCCCGAATCCCGAACGCTCCCGAGCTTTTGTCTTAAGAGTGCTCTCTCGAGAGAGCGGACCCCAAATAAAACTCATCCCGGGCCTCCCGTGGGACCCGAGCATTCCTGCCCGCCGAAAGAAACGGAAGGCGACTCTTCGGAAGCGAAGACAAATTTCTCAGCAGAGGAGCAGTGGAAAAAACGTCCACGAGTCAGCCCGACCTAGGTATACCGCGTTAGGTGGATCTCACATACGAGCGTACAAGATTTCGGAATAATTCGAAGGACGGACGAGCACTTCCGTAATGGGCAGCAAAAGTCAGGAGAAAGGGCAGGTATACGATGGTAGTTAACTCCGGGGAAAATTAATCGCCCGGCCAGGGCCGACAGGGTGGAGAGATGGGACGATCGGATACGAAATACGAAAACACTTCTCGGGCCCGGTATCGCCGTAGGTAACAGGTTCACAAAGGACGGTAGACACAGGTATACCGTCCTAATGACCGTCCTGTCACGAAACCAGGAATTCCTGCCCACCCCCCCGCCCCGCCGATTTTTTCGAGGGCCTTCTCCGAGGTTCGCCAATTCGCTTCCCGTGGCTTTTTGCGTTTACCTGGGGCTAATGGCTGCCAGGAAATTCTGGAGAAATTTGTTTGACCATCCTTTTTGCCTCGGCAGTGCCCGCGACGAGTGCTCCGCGCAGCTCGGGAAACGCGCGGAATTAGTTGTGGGCTTTTCTGGGTAACGGGCACGGCCAGGAAAAGGATTATTGCGATATTTCGAATGATGGCTGCGCCGATTACCGGTCGTTACGATCTGACGTGCTCGATCGTTACAGCACCCAGTCGTTTCTCCGCGTCTGCTGGTCGCCGACAGATCGGCATTCCTCTCCGGACCGGTATAGCATGGGCGTACAGGTGTGTATCTCCGTTTTAACGCTCGTACCATTTGCAAATACTCGCCTATCGAGCCGTGATTCCTCGGACGACGAAACGAGGCTTGCATTCCTCTCTTGATATGATACATAGACACGAGCACGTCGATCCGGGGATGCCTCGTCGTTTTCCCAACTCGACCTTTTCCAGGCTACCGCGGTGGCGATCGAATCCTCGTTTCCCTGTCATGGAAATTTAAATAAATTTTTCTATACCTTTGATTATTATGCTCTATTACCTACGCATCCTCTGGACCTTGAGGACGATTCCGAAGACGGTACCGGGAGTTCCGATCACCCGGTAACTCGTCCATCCCACCTCGTCACGTATCCGTCGAGAGTTTAGCTCGAAAGAGACAGCTCGTGGCTTCCCCAGAGGATTTCCTTCGGGGAGGCTGTAATTTGAACGGGCGACCTCCAAGATGGAATTCGTGATGGTTTCTCGGAGTGACCCCACAAGCTGGTCCCGAGTCGAGCACGGTGGTCCACGTCTCGTAGAATCTCGGATGCTGCCCCCTCTTTCTCCCGAGGTCTCTCCCCCGTTCGCTGCAGCTTTCTGCGACTGATTCATTGATTTCTTTTCTTTTTTTTCTCTCTCAGCCAGAAAATATCGACTCTTCGCGAGTGATACTTTCGACGAAGGGGCACGAATGGTTCCTGTAAATTGTATTGCATCGATTTAAATATTAGATTTTCTGATTTTTTAATAAGTCTTTCGATAATATTTTTTTTCTTTTTTTTCTTTATTAAGTGTATAAGGTACCTGGCTTTCGAAGGCGCGGGGCGATTGGTAATCCAAGCGAGAGGCGGGAATTATATATTCCTTGGTAATATTCGCGTGTCATGGGAATCTCGCGATTGGCCAGCGAGAATAGGAATCACTGCTTCGGAACTACCGATCGACCAACTGATTCCGCATTCACTCTCGGTGTTGGCGCGTGGCCAGCCCGCCCGTCCTCTCCTGAATCGAAACAGCCAATAATTAGGTGAATTCCAAGAAAATTCGCGACTTTACTGCGCCTCTGCCTCGAGGCGCTTAAATGGAGGTCTCCGACATTCGGCGAATTGATATCGTTTCGAGCCGAACAGAAATCCATTGATAACTCTGTACGTGGGACATGCCAGGAGGTAGATGGAGTATCTCAACCTCGGGCAGCTGTTGGAGAAACGAATTAAATCAACACACGTCGGCCAGCTGCGCCTCGTCCAGTTGTCGCAGGTCGGGAACTATAGAATACGGGCAGAATGTCACTCCACAATGGTGGAGCATTCGTATGCCGACATCTTTAATTAATTCACGGATTTCTAAATACTGGGTATAACGATTGATTCCTGTTAAAATACTGCGAAAAATTATTCGATGGTAATTTTAGTTTAATAGCGATGTTGCAAAAATTTCTTCGAATTTTCTAAGTGGAGCGTTTATTGACTACGGTCGGTAATCGAATCGCTACAGGATTCCACCGTTCACCTACAGATGGCGCCACTATTTGCTCGCCGCCCGGCGCTCTGGTCGGTAAGGCGACGTCCCTTCGCAGTGTCTCTCCAGTCTGCACAAGTGTCGGTCTCGATGACCTTCGGCCTCCGGCGTCCCGTGGTCGGTAAGTTTACCTCGAAATCATGGCTTCTACGCCCTAATTTCGAGCCCGGCGGCTTCCTCGTTCATTATTTCGCCAGGTCATAACCAAGTAGGACGGCGTCGGGCGAAAACCTCGTCTTCGCTAGACTTTCGAAAAGTGCGCGCGCGCGGCCAAGCCGACCGGTCCGAACCCGTTTCGCAGGATTCTACGACGCGTCCATCTCTTGGGGCCGGCGCTCGTGCCGAAGTGAGAGGGTAGTCGAGTTACCGAGGGCATTTCTCGCATCTAGCCATCTTTCTCGCTCTCGGGCGTGAAGCGAGGACGAGAAGGACGGAGCGGTCTCCCGAGCCCCTTGGTGGGGGTACCCCAATAGTCGGCCTCTCCTCATCTCGTCTCCTTGCCGTTCCTTCTCAACAGGTGGCAGCACTGGGGTGATTGTACACATGCAGTTGTCTGCACCAAACATCATCCCGAGGGCGAGCTTCCGAGCGATTGGGCGACGTTTCCTGCAGGATATCCCCGTGAACCTCGACCCGCGGCCCGAATCGCGCCCTGCTCCCTCCTCGTTCACTCCTGCCTGGTAAGATCCCCGCCTGCTCTGTAATTCGTCCACCCCCGCGCCGGGAGGGCCGCCTCGACTCGTCCCGGTTCCTTGGGGACCCGCGGCTGGGCCGAGGCGAGGCTCTTCCCGGTCGCCGAAATTCGCCGATCCTCGCGCGGATGCCCGGCGTCGCGGCCGCTCCGCGTGTCCCGCACGCGCCTCGCCGCCCACCCCGCCCTCCGGCCGGCCGGCCGACCGCCCGGGCGGAAAATCCACAAGTGGTTGCGCGTACGCCGCTCCTCGCCGTCCAGTTCTCGCGGGAGCGGCGACGCCCCCGACACTTCTGTCTCCTCGGCAATCTCGTATCCGTCTATCGTTGCCCAAGAACGCCTCGTCGCGAGGCTGTCTCAATCGCTGGAGGTAACTCCCTTCCTCGTTTTTGTTACAGAACCGCTACACCCTGATAATTTGACTTTATTTTCCGTTCGCCGCCTTTGGTAAGTCCCCCTCTCTCCTTTAATCTCGTATAAGTTGCTTTTAAAGGGGCTTCTCTCCGAGAGGGGCTCGCTTTCTTTATTTATTTTTCTTTCGGAAACGGCCCGTTCTTCCAGGGACAGGCCGCGTCCGTATCGCGCCGCTCATGGGAAGGGAGATAGAGGTTGTAGGAGGCACTTATAAACTACGCCGGATCTTACACGCGATAACGGCATACGGTGTTGCCAAGTCGGAAACGCAGAAATCATCCTTGCCCCTCCCGAGAGGCTTTTCCCTCGAAAGTCAGGATTTTTGGCCAAGGCCCGATCCTCCGAGATTTTCGAGGAATCGCGGGTCATTGCGGGATTTTTCGCCGCTTTTTGCCCCCGAATTCGGTCGTAAATTGGAATTATTCTACTCTGTTGGGAGTTAGTATGTCGGGGAAGAGGGCGAGCTTTATGGGCACTCGAGAACTGGGAGGACGGCGATTTTGTACGGCTTTTGGCACTCCTAGGTGCTTATCTCCGAGGTGAGAGTTTTCCCTCGGGATGACTCGGGATCGTCGGAAAATCCCTGAGATCTGGCAGCACTGGCGACGCACGGCGTCGTTCGGCGTCCAACCGGCAGCTGGCGCCTGTGGTTCCGAACGACGCCTTGGCGACGCCGAGCCCTCCCTACCGACCAGCGCACCGACGCCGACCGACGCTCTCTCCAGGCGCTCCTGCCGACGCTCCGAGTTCCGTTCCCGCCGTCCGATCGATTCCGGATCGATCGGACGAGGCGCTTCCGTTAAAGAAGGGAGCTCTTTTTAAATATTCCTAAAATGAAAATGGAGGAGAGTTAAATTAATTGGAATTTTCTGGGGGTCTCGAAATACCCGGCGTGATTTTATTTCTTTATTAAGGCGCCGTTCTTCGGGGTTCGGGTTGATTATGGAAAGGAAGGAAGACCGTTCGGAGGTACCCGTCGACGCGAGCCACCCGGAGGGGTTCCCGAAGGAGGCGGGCTTCCCTCGATAGGAGCGCCGTGGGTGCACTCCTAAATATCCCAGGGAGAGCCGGCGGAATATTCGCCCGGGCGGTCTCGGGTCCGCGTCCGCCGGGAGTGTTTTACTAGCCTTAATTTCGTGTGCTTTCGCAGCCAATATGTCGGGCAGTAAATTCCGAAGTTTCGTCGTCGGTTTCGCGAGCGCCGGCCGGGAGGCGGCGCTCTTTTTGCCCCCGCTTTTTCGGGGCCAAGGAGGCCGGCTCGATATTAATTTCGTAAATAACACCGGGCGACGCGTCGCGGCGGTCCCCCTCGTATCCGAGACGCGGAGCCGAATCGATTCGTAGTCGCCTTTTCGCCGAAATCGCGGACTTCCGCCCGCCCCCCCGGGGTGGAGGCCGCCGTCGAGCTCTCTCGCCAGAAAAACCCGATTTCCCCCTCCGCCGTTGCAGCCAGAGAAAAATCATTCCTGTGAAAGTTGGGCGTCGGGACGCGGGCAGGAATTCTTGTAAGAAGCGTTTTCCCATATTCGATGGCGTTTAGGAGATAAGACGCGTTTTTCGGCCGAGCGCGGGGCACCTACCCCGGTCGGGGGGTGGCGCGGCCTTTTCGACCGTTTCTGCTATCTCGGAGCGTTTTATCGGGACTTCCGAGGAGCGACCAGTCCGACTCGGTCCCGCCTTTGGAAAATACTCCCGGCCCCGCGCCACCGTGTACATTATTAATTTACGTCGGTGAAAAGGGCGCCGGCCCCGTATTGCGCGTAGGTACTAGAGGTTATTATGCCCTTTAAATGTTTAATGTGTTTGCCTTCCTTCGCCGGCCACCGCGGCTTTATGTTTTACTAAGTAAATTACTGTTTTTTTTTCTTCTCCGCGTTAATGTTGGCTCAATCGATTCGCACCCGCCCTGTCCGCCCCCTCCCCCCCCCCGGACGGTTCTTCCGCCCGGTCGTTTCGCCCCGGCTCGGACGACTTGGAATTTTTCTGCGTCCTCCATGGAATATTTAATGCGAGTCTCGCTTCGTTCTCCTATCTTTTTTTTTTCTCTCTCTAGTTGACCCCCATTTTCAAACACGCCCGAGTAGGATGCGAACGTCGCCGTTCTTACGGTCTTTTTTCTATTTTTTTTTTTATTACGGAAATTGCCGAAAAATCAAGGACTCCCATTTCGTTATTCTCCCCGTGGGTTTCCATTTTTAGTGGAAACTCGCCGGGGGATCCATCCCGGGTGGATCGATGGCGATCGCGGGGGGTGCACGTCCGGAGGGGCCGCGAAGTAGGTTACAAGCCGGCTCGCTATTTGCCGAGCTATCGCGAGGTATCGCGGGCGATCGCGCGGCTCGTTTGCGATACGCTGCGCGGAACGAGGCCGGGCTTATAATATGAGACGTAAGTCTTTTCTTCTTTTCCTCCGTTTTTTTTTTCTCCTCCCCCTTTCTTTTCTCCTTCGAGGCATTTATTCGCGCACGAAAATAGCCCCGCGGGCCACCGGGAGGCGGCGACCCCCCGCGACGGCGAGTCGCCCGGCCATCTCCCGGGCGGCGCTTCGAGATATCCGGGCCGCGTATTAAAAGCAAATAAACCGTCCGGAAATACATACCGGCCGGCGGTTCCGCCGATACGCGATCCCACGGGGACGGGTACGCGTACTCCCCTAGGAGGGTCGACTTCCGCGGGCGAGGCGTCCTCTTTGCGGCTCGATTAGGGTCACCGGTCCCCGCGGAAGGTGTCCTGGTTTTTCGATATCCCACCAGGGCTTGGCGTCGCCTCGTTTCCAGCGTCCCGGGGATTTTCATTAAGTCCCTACCCTCGGTGCGGCCGCGGCGCGGGGGGCTAACCGCGGAACGTCCGATGTTTTCCGTCACCGCGGACAATGGAATTCCTCCGCGCGCATTGTCCGCGCGAAAACGCGACACCGCGGCCGCGGAGGCCTCGACGAAACCGCGCGAAGACTATCAGAGGTGACGATCCGCGGGCGACAAATCAGATTGGATATTTAATGCCGGCCGGGCGCGGCCGCCGTCCCGGGGCCGCGCGATCTAGCGCAATCAGCGCTATTATATTAATATTTATACGTTCATGCATCCGACCGACGTGGAGGGAACCAATCGCCGGATCTCGTCGCGGCCGCTGAATTACGCAGCTCGCGGCCGAATTTCCCGCCCGGGCGGCGCCCGCCCCTCGAAGGGATCGCTCCGGGCCCGGTTCACGCCCGATTACGGCCGCCCAGGGCGCGGCGAGCACCAAACCACCCGTGAAACCAAGAAACACGCCGTCCCGACCGACGCGACGCCGGCCCCCCTCCGGAGGGGACCCTCGGCTCGGGGCGATCGGCCGAGTCCTTCGATTTCGCGTCCTCGCGGGCCGGGCGATCGATCGGACCCCCTCCGGTGGACCGGAGGGATCGCTCCCTCGCCGGGAAAATTGCATTCGACTTGTCAATATTTGCCGAGAAACGTTTATTCGCGCTCCCGGCCGGAGGCCGGCCGGCAGGGACGGGCGGCGTCGCGACGCTTCGCGAGACGCAGCCCCCACGGCTCGCGCGCCGACGGGATCCTGGGATCTTTGTTCTCTTTATCTTCTTCCCTTTTTTAGGGGAAATTCTCTAGGGGGGGGATTTATATACGTGGGGCGTGATTTTTTCTAGGTCGCTCCTCGAGACCGTCGAGTGCGGCGCTCGTCGAGGGTTGGGGTCCGTTTGACAGATGCGGCCCGAGTGCCCTCGATCCCGATTGCCGCCACCCCTGGGGCGGGCGCATTTATGTTTCCTATTGGTTATTAGATCAGGGATGGATATTGTAATCAGGTTTTTAAGCGCTTACGGGGACGCGGCCGACCCCCAGGCCCGGGCGTCGCCCTCCGCGGGGCGCCTCCGCCACCCGGGCGGAAGGGTCGACGGAATCGCGACCCGCTGGGCCTTTGTCGAGGAGTCTTCCCGGGACCGCGAGCTCGCCCCCGGGACGGGACGACTCCTCCCGCGAATTGCAGGCTCCGTTTCTCCCGGTAATCGCGTTCCCCTCCCGCGGAGCCCCGAATGATCGGCCGGGGCGCGAACACGCGATCCGGAGGATGCTGTTTTACGCGTCGAAGAGGGCCGCCCCTCCGCGCCGGAAACCTTTGCGGCTCTATTTGCTACGTTAATTTTCCCCGCTCGTCCGCCGATCTCTGCCGGCGGTGGCCTCGGCTTCGCATCGTGCCGGTTAATTACCTCGATCGGCTCGCCCGGTATTTCCGCGAGTTAAAGAAATCGCCTCCCGGATTCGCGATCGACTGGTCCACGCCCCCCGGGGATTTTTTTCTCTCGGTCGTCCGTGAGCGCAACGAGCGCCCTCCTCGCCGAAAGGGAAGAAAAGAAGGAGCGTTTTCCGCGAGGGGCCGCGAGAACGGAAAGCGGCTCCGATCGGCGTTCTCGCCGGTTAGGTAAAGTACTCGGGGGAGGGGCGGCGGGGGCGGGGGCTCGTAAGTGGCCGTCGGGGGTGCAGCATAGAATTATGCATTATGCCGAATGCTCTCGCTAAGCAGTATGATCCGAGCCGCGGAGAAGCGGTCCCTTAACGACGGCGAGTGCGCGTGATCCAAGATGGATGATTTCGCGATCGGCGGATCGCGGTAACGAGCCGCTCGTGACTCGCGGCCTTTCCGTCCGGTAGCTCCGCCGAGGGACGCGGCCTCCCTCCTTCCCCCCCGGCGGTTATCCCCGGAGATCGACCGATCTACGATCCGAGGGATCGATCAGATTGGCCGATCGGCTCCGCCAATCTCCGATCGACGCCTCGACCCGCGAGGGGGAGGACGTCGACGCCGAGGCCGATTCGATCCTCCTTCGATTCCGATCGTCCCGTCGCTCGCGATGGATGACGACGTCCATCCGGACCCGGGTTCTGGAAACCATGGGGAGGGATTTTTTAACGCGGCGGAGGACTAAAGGGGAGACCTCCCGATTTTTGGGATCGATCGCCGGAAGGGAATTCAGGGGGCGGAGGAGGGTCCCTCTCCTCGATCTCTCTGTACTCTCGGAGCCACCGGAAACGATC